GCCATAGGACAGAGCCGTTTCAGCCTAGCGATCCATCTTTTTCTCCAATTTGACCAAAACAATGGCATATTTAGTGTAGGCGCTGTACTGTATACAGGATCCAGGTTATTAAAAGAAGTAATTTGAATAAAAGGATCACCCTTATATTTCACAAGATTGCACTGCACAACTTCAAAACCCAATCGCCTCGTATGTTTTGTTGCTGTACAAATTAATTTTGAATGTGATGAGAATTGTTAAAAGATATATTCCTTATTGGTATCTCTCAGAAATTTATATAATATATTTTACTGCTGCACAGTCAGCCACATTGTCTCATCTGTTAATAATCTGGGTTTTTGGGTTCCACCACATAATTCTTCCTGGAAAGAATTCTGACACCATCTCCAAGCGATCAACACGTAAGGACTGCTCCAAAATATGACTATACTGTTTCCCATCTTCCAGTTTGTACCTTAGGTTTTATTTTGTAAATACTACAGAAAAAAACCAGCAAATTTGTCAGAGTCAAGGTTACTATACTGTATCGGGACAAATGGAACCAGGAAAACACCAAATGCTGAAATGAATGACAGCACCTGAGAAGCCAACTCGGAAGAAATCCCAGATTAGTTCTTCAGCCCCTGGAAAAGCAAATTCTACACAGAAACTATAATTTACGGAAGATCAACAGGATCAGCCTGAAGCCTGAGAAAGGGTGAGAAGAGGAACCATTTGAAGACACTTCTTAATTAAGACAATGTCCTCTAACACATCATAGAACTTCTGCATGAAACAGGAAAAGAAAGAAAAAGGAGAAAAGGAAATTTTACTGTTTAGCATAGAACTGAAAACATTATTTCTCAGAGATCAGTTTCACTTAATTCTCACAGAGTAGCTGAAAACATACTAATCAAGAATTTCCCCTACTAAAGCTGTGTTCCTGTCTCGCTGACACGTTTCCTAGTGTTACAATAGAAGTTGAGCATGATTACAGCCAGCTGTACACACAACAGCCCAAAGCAAGGAACTGCTTTTGAGGAATATTAGATATTTATAGGCCAGGGACTTGCAGAAGCTAGAAAGGAGCGTTCTATATCCAAAAATTACTTTGCTAAGCCAGGTGCTTAAGTCTTTGCCAGACAAGGCCCAAAGAACACCACAACATCTGTCATGGTGGAAGAGCACAAGCGATTCAGAATCTTGCTGCTGGATAAACTCATAATTAATGGGTGTCTCTCCACAAGAGGACTGGGTCAGACTGAAACAATTACCATGTAACAGCTGTTGAGTGTCTTCTGATTAATTCTGCAGACTAGACCAATGTCAAAGCCATCACTGTCAATGACAACTAACCAGAAAAATCTGTTTGTAATGCATCAAAAGCAATTTACTGCTCAGTGCCTCTGCTGAGGCAGCAATTGGCACACGTCTGAAATAACAACAAATTTCATAACAGTGAAATTTCTTTCAGGCTTCTTAATTTTTAATAATCTCAGAGCTGCAAGTCCAATGAAGTAACCAGGCTTTATGCTGCATCTGCTTTTTAAAATTACTTCCTGGAGGTTTGTGTGTTTAGTATCCTTTCAAGTTCCTATTTTGCTTCACTGTGCGGAAAAGATTTTTCACGCTATCAGGACTGTTCCCCTGGAAGTAATTCCTGTTGCTTAAAATTAGAAATCTCACTGTATGGGGCTCTCAAAACATAACTGAGTCAAAATACACAATCACTTTTGCACCTTCACTTTGATTTCTGCAGCAGATTCTGCATGAGTGTGAATTTCTGCTCGGAGCTGCTACCATGAGAGCTCGTACACAGGATGTGCATAAATACACAGAGCAAGGACTACGATCAGTCTTTGCAGCTCCAGAATAAATGAAAGAGTTTCTTTTCCACAGCCTTGATATTGGAGGACATCACTCAAAAGGATTCATTTTATTAAAGCTTCTAAACCGTAACATTCGGCTTAGTTTAAAAAAACCCAACCAACTGTTAAGGGGTAGCTCCGTAAATGCGATTTGAGCAGGGCTCACACCCAGCTCTCCATGACCTGAGTGCACAGTTCGGGGCTGGTGCTGCCGCCACAGCTCAGGGGAAGCTTTTCTTCCTTACACAAGTACTCCAAGTGAAGAAAACCCATCTACCCCTGTACGCCTTCACGAGGCTGCCGTTTGCTGTCTACTTCTACCTTGATGCAAAAACACCCCATTGCTTTTCACCTGAATCGCTCCCCAGCACTGCTCACTGCGCGTTCCCACAGAGAGCTGTGCCAGGCCCACGGGGGCAGCAGGGACCTCAGAACAACTGCTCAAGGGCTGCTCCAGGAGCCAACAGCCCCGCTGCTCACCGTCTGGTCACAGCCCAAACAGTCAAACAAACAAGTTTGGAATATTTCTGCCTCATTTTCTCCAGCTGAATAAAATAAAAAAATGAAAAAATCACATTGCCCTTCTCAAAAACGACTTTTTGAGTAATTGGAAGAGGTTTAAAATGTTTGAAAAACTCTGAATAAACGGATGTAAGGCTACATCACTGAATGGATTCTTTTCATAAGCGAAATATATAGAACGTTTCTCTTAAAATTGAGGAAAGTAGGAGTGGCAATTCAGGAATAACCCACGCCCGTGGTTTTACTTCATAGAGTAGTAAGGTGATGCAGGGTAAGATCACGCAAATGGGATACTTCCATAGTGACTGCAACAGCTCTATGCTTCTAATTCCTCTCTAGTTTCTGGATTTCTCAAGCTCTAACAGTATTTTGTTAGAGGCAAAAAAATAGCTGTACTTTAAATACTGTTTATATATCCACTCAGAAAGCTCTCTCTGGAACATAAGCAAAGCTTGCAATGTAAATATTGCCAAACTAGTAGTTATGGCCAGAGTAAGAGATGGAATCCCTCCTTTTTGTTAGGTATAATCATAAGCTGAAAGGCCAAATTGCTCAATACCACTGGAGATAAACGGACAGAAAGATGAGAACTGCAGCTGTCTGCATAGCTGCTCTAAGGAAACCTTTCCAGCTTTGAACATTTATCATTCTGTACTCCCACAGCACCCTTCAAGGGAGTTCCACAAAGCTGAATCCAAGTATTCAACATTCACAATTCTTTTGGTCATTTTACAGGAGGCAAAAATGAATGTGCAAAATCAAACGATTACCTAAGAATCCAACAGAAACAAGAGCAGCATGAAAACTAAGACACCCAATTTCCAGGCCTGATACCCTTCCTGGAGTTTAATTCTACTGCAGAATTTCCTCCCAGTTTTTAGCATATTGTCTATGAAACTCTCAAGCTGCTTTCAAGTTACAGGCTGCTGCAGAAGCCTCAGCGTGACGTGTGACGACAGTACTCCTTGTTGTACAAATAATAATTGCAAGTAGAAAAAAAAGGGACTGCTCAGTCTAAACCGGAAAAGACACGTGAGCAATGCGATGTTTTTTCTGTGTAGCGAGTAGATCAAGAAAAGTTATTGTTGTCCTCTTCAGTACCCGAGAGAACGCATTGGGAGAATGCCTAGTTTTGAAGTCCTCTCCATACAAAAAGGAAAAAACCACAAAGAACCACGAACAAATAAAACCCACCAAAAAAGGCCACCTGAGTTGGGCCACCTCTCAGCTGCCATTCCTTACTCCACTCTCTCCTTCCCTCATCAGAATCAGTTATTAACTTACCCACGACCCAAACCGCACAGCCAGCCTTCCAGCAAGAACTCTATTTCCTTTATTAAAAGAAGACCTAATTCATGCCTGCAAGACTATCAAGTCTGCTGAAGTCTTCCCTTCACTTAGGTTACAATACGTCAGAATTTCATCTTTTCCCCAAGTGCCAAAGAGTGTACTAGTAACTTTTGATACTGTTTCAATTTTCAGTACAAGTAACTGCTACTTTGGGTAATTCAACCAGATTTTAAGAGGCTCTATCATGAAACATGATCTGTTCAAGAGATCAAGCTATATAACTTGTTAAAAATAGTGTCCAAAAAAAAAAATAAAAAAGAAAATTAGGAGTTATATGTTGGGACATAGATTTTTGTTTAGTATCTTTAATTCCTCATGATTTGCAAACTACAGTTGAGAAAAAGTAGGAAAAAAAGTATCCATAAATCAGGAGAAAGCTTTCCACAACTTGCTATGAGAACATAATTACCAGCAGAAATTCACCACATTACTCAGGTGAACAAAGTCTAATCCTGAAAGTGATTTAATAAGTTCAAAGTTAGGAAAAAAAAAAAAGTCTTTTTTTTTTCTAACTACTTGATGGCTGCAACATCTTAGAATCCTGAAAACTAAGTGCTGTCAAGTTACCACTGGCTGAAGGTCAAAAAATCTGCTTCACACAGACTTAGAGGGGAGTCAGCACCATTGCAGAGGCTGTTGGATTTGCCCTAAGACCCACTTACTCATTTAGTTATGCCCCACAACATTTCCCAGTTTGTTACCAAAACATTTTGTCCGATGTAACCACACTGAAAGTAAACAAAACCATATTTAATGTGTTTTATTTGATTAAAGTTTAAGTAATCTATAGAGACACTTTCAAATTAAATCCCTTTTAGTTGTATTACATAAACTAGCCTTCCAGATATGAAAACGATCCTGAAACTTACTTTGAGATTTGGAAAAGCACCTTGCAGCTAAACAGGCAAAAACAATGAATGCACACCAACTAAATAACATGAAACAGGGAGATTTTTTGTTTCTTATAATCTCTCTTAGTCACAGTAACCTTTCACACTGGTGAAAGCAGTAGAAAATCTGCAATGGAATGTGATGATTAAGAACAGCAAGGGAAGCTAACAAAAATATCTCTTACCTAAAAGAAGAAATTAAGAACTGTAAAACCAGAACAGTAAAAAAAGGAGTACTGTCATCATGTGTCAGGATGAGGCTTCTGCAGCCGCCTGTAACTCAGACACCCAAGGAAGTTTTAAAGGCCTATTTACATGCCAGTCACAGACCATTCAGAAACGGGACACTAAAATATATCTATTTACACTCAACACTGGTACTTTGTATTACCTGTTTTTCTTCCTCCGGCATATCTTTTTCTAGTTCTAGTAAGTATTCTTCATCTAGTTCTGTCTGCTTCCTTGAGCTATTCTCATCGTTTTGTAAATCCCCTTCTTCATCCAGCACAGGTTCTTTTGCCTCAAAGGTATCATGACAGTCAGGGAAACACCCATCTGCCGCCGGATCTGGGGCTGGCGATGGTGTGTGCCCACCTCCAGCGTCCCGGGGGTCCTGCGCACCTGCGGGGCCGGCCTCCGGAGACTTCTCATCCGAAAGCTTCAGGTGACCAAGTAATTCTTCAGGTGGACTTGAATCTTTAAAGTCGTCCATGCTGGGGCTCCCTGAAGGGGTTAGGATTTTAGAAATGAGAGAGAAACAACCCTCAATAAGCACAACACAAACGCCAAGTCAGGAAACCGATCTCTGGAACAGGAGACCCTGGCACAGGGTGCCCAGAGAGGGGGTGGCAGCCCCATCCCTGGGAGTGTTTAAGGCCAGGCTGGATGGGGCTCTGGGCAGCCTGATCTAGTGGGGGATGTCCCTGCCCATGGCAGGGGGTTGGAACGAGGTGAGCTTTAAGGTCCCTTCCAACCTGACAACCGTATGATTCTAAAGCCCTGCAAAGCGCTCCCGGCGCGGCCTGGGGGAGCTGTTACCCTCGGGGGAGGGAGCAACTTTACGTGCTTCTTCCAGGCACTGAACGGCGACTCGGGGCCAGCACTCAGCTCCCAGCAACAACTTCACTCACG